TGTTTGTATGCATTTGATGTAAATTTTTGTTAATTTTTTTTTTATTTATTTCAATTTCAGTCTTCTGGTTGTAAAAAGTGATCTCTCCCTCTCCCACCTAACCTCCCTTCCCTCACAACTCCTTCAAAATGTTAAAATGTATAATAAATTACTTCACTGAATCATAAGACAGGTAATAGAAGATAAAAAAACAATAGAATATGATCAACCATGAAAAATAGATAACAATTTTCAAGTTCAAAAACTTTGAAAACTTGTATCTCAAAAAATATTAATCTTACCTTACCTGCTTTGGTCTTAAATTGTAGCATATTTAATCTAGTTTAGAAATGTATAGTATATGTTTTGTCGAAAACATTCTCCTTAATGGTGAAAACCTAAAAAAAGTGCGAAAATATAACAGTTTTCGGGCTTTTTCAAAAATGATCCGAAGGAGGGAGGTCGACGTCGAAAACTTTGATTTTGCCTAACAGTAACATCCCATACAAGAAAATAAAAATAAAGCTACTCCCATTCGATGCAACTTGGACTTAGATTATGACAAGATTACTAGGCTAATATTTTTGGCCAAGGCTGTGCTTCATCGCCACTGGCCTTCGAGTCCTCAGTCTGAAGCACTTCTCCCCTCAAAAAAAAGGTATTTGTTTTCGTTGGTTCATATTTGTTTCTGTGGATGATCATAGCTAAATGGCTAAACAATCGATATATGTACACTTTTTTATATTATAACACATGTATTTGAGATAATAAGTGTAGGCACTTTAACAGTTATATATATATATATATATATATATATATATTATATATATATATATATATATATTTATGTGACAGACGCTTAGTGATCCAGTAGCTTAATATATGTGCTGGTGGACGGTGCTGAGACTGTCGGTGTGTCCCTGGTCTGAGTTATCGAAGCTCTATTTTTTTAAACTTTGAAGAGGATCCCATTGTTAACTTATAAAAAGAAAAATACCGGGATCGAAACGTCAATAAGCACAGAGGAAATGAACATTTAGTAGTTTATTGAATAATTAATAAGTGACCTTATTCCCAATTAAATGGTTATGTTTAAATTTAATACTCCAAGGTCGATTAAAGACAATTTGTAAATATATATATATATATATATATATATATATATACACACACATTTTCCTAATAGACACACTATTATTTTATTTTTTTTTTTTTTTTACAGCCCTTCAAGGAGTACTTTAAAAGTATTTTATATAGTCTCTTTCTTTTTCTTTCAGAGTAAATTTCCAGATTAAAAAAAAAAATTGAATTTCTTTATATTTTTTTTACAGTTTTTGTTTTTAATTTCGTACTAAATTTTGTACAAATTTTACCAGAAAAATATAAAAGAATAAATTTTATTTCTCTTTCTAATTTTACATAGTTCTTATACATACAATTTAATTAATTTAAGGCTTACAAATTAAAACCAAAAATAACTTAAAATAACCCATTTAAACACTTTAATCCGTTAAAAGTATAATAATTATACCAAACGGAAGCCAGAATAAAATCTCAAATTGACTCGAAAACAGAATGAAATGAAACTTATTAATAATATGGAAAATATGTAGGTAAATTAATTTAAAAATAAAATGCGTTTTCACAGTTCAACAGTCTAGCTCAAAAACTAATTAATATTAGTGAAATTTCATACTTAAGGTTTTTATATGCTAGGGATAATACTGCAACTTTTTCATCAGAATCGGTCAAACAGAAGTGGCACTTTATATAACGGACTAAACACATTTTTACGATCATCGATTCTGATTAAATTCATCATATCAGTGTAAAATTAAGCAGTTGAAATAAAATGATGTTATTATTCTGATTGATGTTCTCAAACAGGGTTTAAATGGCTAATTTTCAATATTTGCTTCCTCTAAAGTACCTTTAATTTTTTTTATTTGAAACAATTGACCATTTCACATTAATTTGTTATATGAAAAATGGTTAAATAGGTTTGGCGGGCAGGATCTGCATCGGAGGATGAAGGTGACGTGTTTACATTTGATTCATTAATTTTAATGCGTCAATTGTTGCACCACTGCTCTATCAGGGACAGGTGTCTTTGCAGATTGAGGGATGCAATTTCGGGATCTTTGTAGGAGAACAGAATGGCGGTATCATTTGCGAATGTTTCTAGGAAGGTATCGAGATATGTAGGGATATCAGCAGGGAAGAGAATATATAAAATATTACCTGTGAATATATAAGACACTGATTGTGGGACGCCAGCCTTTACTGGGTAACAATTAGAAAGTTATGAGCCACAGCGTACTCGGAAGGAATCAAGGGTGAGGTAGGATTTGAGGACTAAGTACAAGGATTGGGGTAATAAGGTTTTGAGCTTTAAAAGTAAACCATCGTACCACACACGGTCGAAAGCTTGCGCTACGCCCAGAAAGGCACAAGTGCAATATTATATTGCTTGCTTTCAAGAGCAAAGGATACATGGTCAACAAGACGTAGAACTGTGGAGTGTTGTGAGCGGAAACCAAACTGGTGTTGAGGTAAATTTTGGAATTCTATTATGGGAGGATTGGCTTGAGAAGAATTTATTTTCAAAGATTTTTGAAATGATCGGTAGCAAGTTTATTGGTCTATAGGGTGAGGTATTATTGGTAGGTTTACCTGTTTTAAGGAAGAGGATAATTATGTTTCCACATCAAAGGAAAGTGGGTGGTGCGGAGGATACAATTATATAGGCGTGTAAGAAACATAATGGCTTTTTTGGGAAGTTGCTTAAGGATCTGGGAAGTTAGGAGGTCGTATTCAGGGGATTTTGTAGGTTTTAGGTTTTTTATAAGGAATTTGACCTCAAAGGGGTTGACAGGTTTGTGAGGCAAGGACAGCGGGATCGGTGGAGAAATGAATTCTTTAACTTCGGCAGTATTGGAGGAATGGAGTTCTGGATGGAAAGTGATTGTATTGGACAGATATTTAGCGCATTCTATTCTCATATGACGAAGCCCAGGAACCATCATCACGGTAGAGTGGATGGGAAATGGAATGGGATCTAAGGATTTTTTTTAGTTAATTTCTAGGGTGAGTTATCGCATGCATATATTGAGGAAAGATAGGAATTGTAGGATTGGGATCTAAATGTTGTTAGTTTCTTTTTCAATGTTTTGGAATAGTAATTATATGACTTCCAATCATCAGGGTGCCTGGTTCTTTGTCAGAGGGTCCTAGAGCTTAGAGCATCGTTTGGCATGGATCAGGTCCAAAAGGTCTTAAGGTAAGGGATTTATTTTGTGGTGTTTCGGGGGAACGGAAGATAAGGATGCAGTCCAAACTGCTTGTTGGATCAGGGTAGTGCACAGCATCATCTAGGTCTTCGGGTGTTTCTAAGGATACTCTGAGGACATTATTATCGATCAGTATTTGACGGAAGAGGTTCCAGTTAACTGGTCCCCTAATAAATGAAGGCGGAAGTATTTTTTGAATCGGTACTGCAAAAATGTATAAAAGTAAAGGCCTGTGGCATGAGAAAAGATTTTCGAGCCGGGAAATGGAAAAATTTAGTGGGCTGAGACCTTTATGAATAAAAAAATTCAAGGACGTCGGAATTACAGTGAGGACCGGTTGGCCATTACGTATGAGTATCAGGAGAAAGGATGTTGCTCTGATGGGAGTTAAGTGCAAATAGCAATGTTCGCCCTCGGGAATTTCTGGTTCTTGCTCCCCTTTGCTGATGTTTTGCATTTAAGCCTGTACATGGAAGGAAGTGGTGTCCTAAGGAATTAAATTGGAGAAATGGATATTTTAGGAGCTAAATAACACATATTAGTAGACAAGCGAACAAAAGTTATACCAAAAACGTTATTACAGCTCTATAACTATACCATTTACGGGTACTGAGAAAAAAGAGAGTCGGCGCTTACAGAAGAACAGCTTTTTCTGCTGATTTTGTGCATTTTTTAAGGAACTGTTTCAAATATTTTAAAAATTAATCACTGATATGGACAGATAAATGTATTGTCCAGATGTCTTATTTCAAGGCATTTTTTGTTATTGTTGCCATTTCTTTACAAGCAAAGCTTGATTTTCAATATTAGTTTGAATAAATTGATTTTACCAGTGTTTGTGTGCGAAAAATTATCCCTGCAATGCACTGCTTTCGAGATATAAACGAAAACCCAAACATTGGCACTTTTCCTCCCCCTCTCACCTCTCCCCCGGCTCACCACCTAGACGTCAGGACTTTTGATATGTTCATACCCTAAGCACCCTGAACAAGTTCCTGAAGGAATTGCTTAGGTCTCTGCTCATGCACTCTGCATCAACTGTTTGGGCATTCATTGACTGGACTATTGATAAATTTGTCGATACACTGTGTGGATTGATGAGAAATTGATAACTTCACATTAATTGTTAAACCATTATATTTACAGGAACATAGTTATACATAAAGAAAGGACCCTTCACCAAATAACACTATAATAAATCTACGCTTTTTGACCTTTACACCAAAGGCTTCTCTATGCCTTCTAAAGCATATGTCTGTTATATCATAAATAATGGTTACCTTATTTAATATAGAAATATATATTATACACAAATTATATTATAATTATTACATTACATATACCAATGTCTACATGGATTACAATATCAACTTAGCAAAGATATCATAATTCCACAAAATTGAGATCTCATGACAAGACATTCTCAGACATTTGTGATGTTTACATTGAATATATATTATCAAAGTACTTTTTTAGGGCTGTTGTATTTGAGGAATATCCGGATTCTGCAAGTAGTACTAAAGAACTTCCTCAGCGAATAAAGAACAAAACATGTTAATGTGTTCTTAGTCTAAAATATGTTTACTTAATTAGAAATGCAAATCAATAGAACTTATATATTGAAATATTGTTTTTATTGTTAATAACAACCTCAATACAACTGTAAGATTGTTGATTTGATTCTAGTGTTCATTTAAAATTATATTAAAAGAATACTGTACTATATTTCAGGCTGAAATAAGACGACGGAATGTTTATAGGTCCGTTGACCTAAATAATTCTGGTAATAACGTGGATGATGCTGTAGAAGATGCTCATGGATGGGAACCGGTATTTCGTTTTTCTCCTTTAAGTGGTTTCGTTTTACTTCTTATATGGAGCTCAACTATTTTCACCATTGGATTGTATTTCAATGATAATTTGCCTACAACTGACTCAGATGTTTTGACCAAGTAAGCCTAATGCAATTTTATTATTATAAAATTAACTTTCTTTTAATATTGGATTAATGGTTGATTGTAGTGAATAACTGAAGAGAAGTTGGTTGGGGTGTTCAGTCAAAAATAAAAAGTGAAAATAAATAAATTATATTTATTTTTATTTTTATAGAGATTAGAGATACATATGAGATTGAGATAGATAAAGATAAGCGATACATCTGAGTTTGAGTTTTATAAAAATAAAAATCATTTATTTATTTTTACTTTTTTTTTTACTAAACACCGTAACCAACTTCTCTTCAATTATTTTTTAAAACAGTAAAGCTAAGATTTGACCAGATTCATAAATTTAATAATGGGGATGATGTTGCTGTGATTCTACTCTCTTTGCACTCATTCAGGTTTGAAATTCGACATAAATCTTAAATGAAACTATATAAAAAAATGTTTTAATTTTGTATTAGCATTATACACAAGGTAGAGAAGGAGTTTTGATGGATATAAATATTGGAAAACAGATTGTTTTAATTACTTCATTTGAAATCTTGAAAGAGTATGCTAGCCCTCTTTTTATTAATCTGCTATTTTATTTTTATTGTCTTAGTTTTTATTATCTTATCCCATGTAGTCTCTTGCATAGTAATTATCATGAAAATGGTTGTTCTTGTTAAATATCTTAGTAACTGATTGAACGCCAAACATGGTGCTCTACAACTTTTATACTAAAATTTTTTAATTCAGATCAGCTGTTTTCATGTTTCATTCATTTCTAAGTAACTAAGTTGATAAAACTTTCAGAGTTCCAACTATCAGTTTTGGAGAAAATTGCAATTTTATGTATTCATTCACCATAGGATTTAATGGTGTAAAACTTTTATCTTATTTCTTTTTCAATTTAGAATGACTGTTTCCATGGTACATGCATTTGAAATTTGCTCATTCAATATTTTGGTAAAGTTGGTAAAAATCAGTTGTCAATTTTAGCCATAATTCTGCAACAAAGTTATAATATTAAATATTCTTCTGACACAGAATTTAGTGTTCTTTAATTTTTAAAATAAAAAGTCTGAAAATTTTCCTAGATATGAAAATCTCCATGTAAAATGTAACCAATCGACGATAAGGTAAAAAGTCATAATGCTGAAGTTGTAAATCTTTTTGATTTCAATAGGACAACTAAATTTGAACACTGTTGGTGCCCATTAAATATGAAAATTTGTTGAAACATTATAGAAAAACATAAAATGTTCTAGGCATAAAAAATCTATAGCTATCTGAAGTTTATCCGATGTAAATATAAAAATTAAAAGGACTAAACTTGTGGATCACTACAGAGAAATATCCCTCCTTCCTGCTGCTTATAAGATATTTTTCAATTTTTTTTTCCAACATCTATTACCTTTTGTGGAAAATAAAATAGGTTAATATCAAACAGACTTTATGAAAGGCAAAGTTATGATGGACCAAATCTTCTTTGTGAGAACGATGATGGAGAGAGCGGCTGAGTATAATATAGAGACCCACCACCTCTTTGTGGATTTCTGAGTTGGCTATGACAGCATGATTCGAATGGAGCATTATGATGGAATGATCGCTCTTAACATCCCCTCGAAGCTAGTCCACCTTATCAGATTGACCATGAAGGTTACTCAGTGTTCAATGAGAGTGTGTACATCTGAGTTTTTCCATAGCCACAAGAGACTCAAACAAAGTGATTGTTTAGCATGCCTGCTGTTTAATGTTGCATTGGAATGTGCCATAAGAGATTTAGGACTCCAAATAGGAGTGACGATTTTCAAAAAATGATGCCAAATTCTTGCTTAAGTTGACGATCTGGATGTCGTTGAACAAAAATTTTCTGAGTATAAAGAGCGCCTTCCTAAATTTACAAAATCCAGCCATCAAATTTGGATTGCAGATGAACTAGTCCATAGCAAAGTATATGCTCTGCAATCATAAAAGAGGAAAATATCTAAGAGGGAGAGTAAAAACTGGGAACTTCAACTTCGAATATGTCGAGGAATTTATTTACCTTGGGACTATTGAAAACTAATAATAAATAAAACTAATAAAATAAACTGATAAAGACTATTGAACTCAACTAATAATATGACACCAGAGATTCAGAGGTGGATTATGGCAGCTAATAGATGCTATTATGGGCTACAGAGGCATCTAAAAAGTAAATATCTCTAGGATGAGCTAGATACGTATCTATAAGATCCTGATCGGTCCTGTCCTCACCTATTCATCTGAGTGCTGGACAATGATGAAAGCACTAGAATCAGCTCTATTGAGATTCGAAAAAAAGATTTTAAGAAGGATTGTGGGCCCTACATGTATCAACGATGTATGGAGATCTAGGCTGCATTTATGCTGAGTTTATGAATCTCTACAATGACCTTGACATCATCCATTTAATAAAGGCTGAACCTCTAAGATGGGCAGGGCATTTCGCATGCATGAATTGTGATGAAGTACACAAATTGCTTCTAGAAGAAAAAATATTTGGAAGTAGAAGAATTGGAAGACCTTGTATGCGTTGGGCGAATGGCGCTGAAGTAGATGCTCAGAAGCTATTAGGAATAAGAAATTAGAAAACAGCAGCATAAAACTGAGAAAACTGGCAGCTCCAACTTTAAGAAGCCTTGACTCTCCAATGAGTTGTAGTACCGTTTAGTTACAATAGACCTTCAAAAATAGATATTTGTGGAATGAGGAGAGATCAAGAAAGGATGACCAGTAATGTCAAAAGGATAAACTTTCATATTACTATAGTTTTGGTAGCTAAGCAAGACGTTTACCTCTAATCAACAGATGAGCCTCCAGACTTTTTAGGGGACTTTTATATTATCAATGAGGGGATAAACCTTAATTTATAGGACTATAAGCAGATAAATGAATATCCAGACCTTAAATGGAGAAATTAGAAGAATTTTGAAGCCAGGTGTGATCCTGTGCACATTGAGTTTAGGAGGAAATTAAAGCAGGATACTAACTCCTGTGTTCCACTTAGGAGAGGTAACAAATTTGATTAAGGCAAGACCTTGGGGTGACCATACTGTCATGTCTGATGAGGCACCAAGAGTAGTATCATTTATTTATTATTTTAAGCTTGGATCAGTAAATTTTTTATACCTATTCTTTATTATCATAAAAAATAGTACAAAGTTACATTTTTACAAAAATTTAGACAATAAGTAAAATCAATAATAACAATAAATTAAAACATTTTTCTGCAAACTAGCGTTTCCTGGTGACAGGTGTGTGAACTACGAGAAGGTCTTGCTCATTTGGTGATATCCTAGGGAAGTTGAAGCTGACCTTGATCAGACAGCTAAATCAGGAGAGGTAGAAAATTGAAAGTACATACCTTTCTGCTGCTTAGCATCCAAGTTTCGGTTATAGAAAAAAATTAATTTATCTATTAACATAAAACTTCAAAAATTAATCCCTAGCTTCTCATCCAGCTTCTCTAGCTACACGCATACCAATTTTAGACTAAAACTATTGAGAAGAACACAATCATTTTGTATGTTAGCATGAACCCAATATGCTTCTGTCACCGACCTCTGCTTATTTTTTAAATCACCATGAAAGATTTATTCTTTTATTCTTCAAAAGAGAAAATGTCTCACTGTAATTCTCTTTCCTCTTCTCATTTTGCATCCTCAACAAGCTTAGGCTTGTACAATATATTGGGTTGTCCAGAAAATAATGCAGGATTTTGGTTTAAAAAGAAAGATTTACCACTGTTTTACTTAATAAAAATACTCTCCACTACTATCAATACATTTCTGCCAAAGTGTTGGCAACTTTTCCATTCCCTCAGAATAGAATTTCCCTCTTTAGTATTCATAAACTCCAAGAACGCATTTTATAATTTTCTTTGTCCATTAAATTTTTTGTTACAATACAATTCGGCATTGATGGTTTCTCCAGGATTTAAGAAGCTGTAGTGTATCGCTTTCCTTTGTCGAGCTATTGTCCAGGGTGTTTACTGTTATCGTAAAGTATCCGCTTTTCATCTCAAGTAACAATAATGGACAGAAAAGGGTCATTTTTTTTTCTGCAAAGAAGTGTATCACAAACTTCATACACTGGCTTTTTTGGCGGTCGTTTAATGTGTGTGGAACGCAACTTTGAATCTTTTTCAAATTAACGATCGATTTGCTAATGTTAAGTTTCCCTGCATGTTCCCGAACAGTTGTTCTGGTTTGTTTTTTTCAACCAAAGCCCACAGAACATCATCATCAAGAGTGGAAGGCCTTCCAAGACCTTTGTCTTCAAGGCTGAAGTCGTCTTCCTCCCCAAATTTTTTTAATAACTGTTGAACAGTGCACTCATTAATGCTGCGCTTGCCCATAATTAACATTAGTCATTTTGAATTAACAATGAATTTTTTTAATAAGACTAGACTAATAATAATAATTGAATAATTGAAATACTGTTTAGGGTCATATTTTATCTAAAGTTTATATTATGATTTAAATTATTTTGTTTTGAATCTTTTTTTTTTTTTCTCCCACGTGGAATGGACCAAAAGCAGTTGAATAGATCAAATCAACAAATATGCAATAGAACTGCAAACAGATAACTGGAAAGAAATAAACCAAGACAGGCAACTACGGAATAGGCTTGTTAATGCGACAAAATATCTACAAGGTCTGTAATGCCAACAGAAAAAAATCATTGTTTTTTCTCTAAGAATATGTTAATTAAGTTTTTTATTTATTTATTTTTTTCAGCAGGGGCTAGCTGATGTGCTCAGTTAATAGGGATTAGCGATCCTCTGGTTTCTTGAGTTCAATACACTGCACAAACACACCTACAGAACAGTATAAAATTCACCGAACTGACACAAGAACCCTCATCCGATACACCTATCGTATCACTTTCCCGAGGAAGCCATCTTGGATGAGGTAACAAGTCAGGGTGCTCTGAGGAGGCAACCCCTCAACCTGACTTGGGGCCAGTGGTCTGATAACTCTGCTTCCCTTAAATTAACTTATAAGACCTCAACAACAAGATAAAGCCTGGTAGATTAAATGATAATTAAACTGGAAAACGTCATATGGACTTCAAACTTGGATTTCAAAACACATTATCATTGTTTAGATCGTGGTCGTTGGAACAAATCATTAGCATTACAACAAATCAAATTTACCATATCTTCATAAGTGCACGTCATTGGTCAAATCTCGACTGCAGGATGTTCAGAGGGGGCAATTATTATTATCAGAATCTCAAAATCCAGTTGTCAAAGAAAGAAAATCTCATTATATTGGAATATTGTTAACTCAATGATCCTGATAACTGTAGGGACTTTCAGGAGAGGACTGTTGAAAAAACAAGGGAGGCTTTCAGATCAGCAAATTCCAAAACCATCCAGGACAATTGTGGCAGTTTGTTAAGGGCATTTGAGGCTGTAAATACCAAATGTATGTGCACAAGGTTGGGAGGAGACCCCATGCATTTGAGGTGACGGAGTTCACCTCTACTTCGGATCTACTGTCACACCATCTTCTGTTGGTTTTCCTCTTTTACCTTATTGCTTCCTCACTACCGAAGATAGAGAAGCTTTGTATTATTGCAAGAGTCTAAAAAAATGTTTATGCTCAGAATCAAAAATTTCCCCTCGCATTTTATGTTTCATATATCAAGGATCAAATTTGGTTTGGTGTCTGTCTGTAATCAAATCGGTGTGACAGGCATATCACCTACTATCATTAATCCAATTTTCATGAAATTTTTAGGGATTGTATGGATAGGTGCCTATATGGTCCTATATAAATTCATCAACTTCCATCCAATACTTTCGGTTAGCCAAGTGAAAATGGGTACTAGTAAAACAATGATGCTGTACCATTTTTATTATAATTCCATACACAACTTTCTCTAAAATTTGTGAAAATGTATTTTCCTTGATACGCTTATTTCTCAATAACTGCTAGTTTGAATTGACCCAAATTTGAACGAAAGTTGGGGATTGATTAGCAAATAATCAAGTGACTTTCAATTATAACAAATTCGATCCACTACATTAAAATAAATAACTTCGGCAATAAAAATCTCGTTACTTCATTTTAGTAAACTTTAAATGAAAAATAAGAGCTTAATAACTAATAGTGTAATAGGTTAAACATGCAAGTGTAGGTTAATAGGTGAAATATAAAAATACACTTTCAAAAAATCACTCTAGGCATATGACGTAGCTCAGAAACTGGAGTTATGTGGTTTATAAAAACAAATGGATATATGAAGTTTTTGTTGTCTATCTTCGATATAATAAATAGGGTTGTGTTATTTTAATAGTGTTAATGAGTTGTTTCAAATTAGTTGTAAGGATTAAGGTTTAGCTCTATTAAAAATGCACTTCTAAAACTCTGTAATAGTCCAACATTGCTAGAAAATAATTTCTATTCTGCTATGTATAAAGGACGGCTGATTGGTAAATTTAAATCTACATTATAAATTAGACATTACTGCATATGGGGAGCATCCCTCGGGTGGCAGTTGTGGGGATGGTCGGTGGAAATTCCCTGGAAGTTCCTCCCGGCTAAGTCCGATGGACTCGCTGACCATCAATGAGAGAGGCGATTCAGACTTGCTGGAGGGTTTGACGTAGGATTGAATGCCCTACTCACATATCTTTAGTTCACCATACACCACAAATAGTCATGGATCTCCCTAAGGTAAAACACTCATTATCTGGAGGTAAACTAGCCCCACATTCAAGTCTCCGGGTGGGGACTGCTTTAGGGGATTCATGGCACAAGTTTAAAAATAGGGATTTAAGTATTGGTATGTGGAACGTAAGGAGTTCGAATTCAGCAGGTGGATTAAAATTGGACATGAATGAGGTTAATGGGTACAATTTGGATTTCATGGCTTGGCAAGAAGTTCGTTGGACAGGGGAGATCTCGATGAGGGAAGGAAAGTATACTATTTGGTATGGAGGAAGCAGGAATCATTACGGTGTACCGAGTTTCTAATTAAAAATAGATTGCTACCCGCTTTGAGGAACATACAATTCTTTAGTGATAGAATTTCAGTAGCTATATTTCAGGGCCGTTGGTTTAAAATCGTGTTAACAAACATACATTGTCCAACAAAAGACAGTGACGATGAATTCAAATGTGAATTTTATGATAAACTCAAATGGATTTATGATAAACCACCGTGAAACTCCATGAAAATAATTGTAGGTGACACAAACGCAAAGGCAGGGAGAGAAGAAGTTTATGTTCTGACAATTAGTACAAAAAGTTTGCACAAATATAGTAATGATAATGGGATCCGTCTGATAAACTTTGCCATCTCGAAAAACCTGATAATTAAAAGTACGATCTTTGAACATAAGGATATTCATAAATATACTTGGACATCACCGGATTCTCAAACACGAAATCAAATCGATCATGTCTTGATGCAACATAGCTGGTAAAGCAGTATAATTAATTTGCTCTTATCGCGGAGCAGAATGTGGGTCGCATCATGAATTAGTAATCACGAAATTTCAACAAAAACTTCATATTAAAAAAAAAACCGTTTTGATTTTAAGAATTTTAATTTGGAAAAGTTAACAAATCCATCAATTAGAACTCGATTCGAGCTAGATGTTAAGAATAGGTTTGAAGCTTTAGAACGTTCTGACGAGGACCATGAGAATATTGACAAGTTATGAATAGAGATTAGGGGTAATATTAAAGCGGTCGGTAACTTGTGTCTAGAAAAAATGAAAATAAGAATAACAAACCGTGGTTTGATGAGGATTGCTTAAAAATGTACGAAAAAAGAAAAACCGCTGAATTAAAAGCTCTAAGTAATCCTAGCCAAGACAATCTGGAATAGTTCCGAACCTCAAAGAATAAAACGACACAATTGCTCAAAAATAGAAAAAGGGAGTATCTTAAAAATAAAATAATTGAAATAGAAACTAATAGAATCAAAAATAATGTAAGAGACACGTTCAAAGGTATAAACAGATCACGTAAATGTTTAGGGCCCATCACTTTTGGAATTAGGGATGAAAATAACAATATTCTGACCAATCCGGTTGACATATTAAATAAGTTTAAGAACCACTTTGACAGTATTTTAAATACGGGAAATTATGATCTGTGTTCTCCATCTGAGTACCAGGGTGCTGAACCATTAATAGAAGAACCGAGTAAAGAGGAAGTTGAAGTAGCTATTGGAAAATTGAAATCTTATAAAGCAGCGGGAACCGATAATATTCCTAGTGAACTAATTAAGGCATGTGGGGAAGCTGCAGTTTCTAAAATACATTTATTGGTTAAAAAGATCTGGGAGAATGAGAAATTACCTGAAGAATGAAAAGAATCTATTCTTAATCCGATTCACAAAAATGGCGCAAGGGCGGACTGTAATAACTATCAGAGACTACCAATGCGGATTTAGACGGAATCATTTGACTATTGATCAAATATTTTGTTTACGGCTAATATTGTAGAAAAAATTAGAGTGCAACGATGTTGTTCACCAGCTGTATATTGATTTCAAAAAGGCTTACAATTCTATTGACTGCCAGAAACTGTATAATGTTCTAATCGATCAGGGATTAAAAAAAACTAGTAAATCTAGTCAGGATGTGTTTGACAGAAACTCTCAATAAAGTAATAATTTGTCCGAAAATTTTGAGGTTCGTTCGGGTTTAAAACAAGGTGATTCCCTTTCGCCTGTCCTGTTCAATTAGGCATTAGAACATGCCATTAGGGAGGTAATGCATACAGAAAAAGGGTTGAATCTGGGTGGGACAGCACCTGTGCTTGGCTATGCGGATGATCTTGTTCTGTTAGCCAAGATGCGGAAACTATAAAACTAAATACAACTATGTTAATGAAAGCCGGTAAAGAACTAGGGCTCAAAATAAACACAGATAAGACAAAATATATGGTTAGCTGCAATGATAGCGATATTGCTGGTGATATCGATATAGATGGTAATATGTTTGAACAGGTAGAGACTAGAAAAAACAAAATTGAAGAGGAGATAAAGGTTAGGCTGAAGGCTGGAAATGCTTGTTATTTTTTTGTGACAAAACTACTTAGCTCGCACCTCTTGTCCTGGAACTTAAAAATTAGAATCTTTAAAACCATTATCTTACCTACAGTTCTTTATGGATGCGAACATTAAGAGATGAGCAACATCTTAAGGTTTTTGAATATAAAGTATTGTGTAGAATATTCGGACCGAAGAAGGATGAGTTAACCGGAGAGTTCAGACTGTTACACTACGCTGAATTGCATGAATTGTATCTGGGTAATGTAATTGAGCATTCCATTGCTGCAAATAAAATGGACTTTTAAAATTGTTGGGCTTAGTAATGAAAGAATTCCTAAAAGGTTAATATTTGCTGTACCGAATGGTAAACGTCCAAGGGGTAGACCGAAGGGAAGGTGGGAAGATTACATTAAAGCCTATCTGAAGGAACTGGTTTTGGATGGGGAACGGTGGAGAGAGGTGTGTAATAAGCGATTGATGGTGTCGCCATCGAACCTTCCGGTTCGCTAAGCCTTTTATTATTATTATCATAAATTAAAATCATATTTGATGAACTAAAAATAACTAGAGATGGTCAATGGTAGAAAGATGGTAATAACTGCCAACAGATTCAGTTCAGTTTGGCATCGTTACCTGAATGAGGTACTGAATGTTTGCAAAAACACCGACTTCTGCACACTTGCAAGATAAGGAGACCTCCCTTTGTAAATTTGATTATTTTAAAAATTTTCTTTACCCAATACAACTGGTGAGGAAGCTATACTGATTTACTTGGCAGATTTTTTTTGAGATTTGTTTTCATTATACCAAAAATAACAGTAATGCTTATAATTAGAACATAAACGGAAAATGTTTCTTTTCGAGAAATTAGTTCATATATACTGATATGTTCATAATAATGATTTTATTTTGTAAAAATCTATTAATTTTGTTTTTAGGTTTGATTTCAAAACGGATAATGTACTTCAAGATCTTAAGATATTAGCTAGCTTTGGACCAAAAGTCACTGGCAGTCATGCGAATGAATATGAAGCCGTCAACTTTTTACATAATCGTATCGTTGACATTAAAACCAATGGTGGATCGGCCAATGAAATTTCTTATGATCTACAAAAAGTTTCTGGAAAATTTCCTCTTACCATTTTTTCAAAAACTTATGTCGTTACCTATGAAAATATCCAAAATATCGTAGTAAAAGTTGGACCGAGAGGGATGTCCAACTATAGTTTATTAATAAATTGCCACTTTGATTCTGTACCTACTAGCCCAGGTATGTATTTTATTACTATTTATTAAAACTTATAATTAATAATAAGATTATTTCTTTCATCATTTTTATTAATTCTTCCTTTTCTATTCAGTTTAATAAACCATAATGACAACCTCTTCTTTGCTATGTTCTCACTATTTTGAACTATATTAAGATTAATATATTTAAATTTTTTTAATATTTAAATACTATTTTTTCTACAAAAGTTGTTGATAGAAAAATAATATCCCACGGTTGTTATCAAAGATAAGTTTTTTTTATTTTATTTTTTAATAATAATAAATAATATATTTATCTTAAAACTATAAGGTCTTGTTGACAAAGGTATAATGTAAGCTCTTGTAAACAAAGGTATAGGTGGCCAACTTCCATATCTCTCTCTCTCTCTCTATATATATATATATATATATATATATATATAGATATATCACATGAAATTTTAGATAGATAATCAAGATTTAAATAACTCATTTAAATTTCACAATGTTTGGGTATTGAGGGGCTGAATGTGATTCAGATCATTTTCTTGTTAGAAGAAAAACCAAAGGGATAATAGTCATGAAAAAAATATTTAAAAAATAGAAAGAAAAATCAGTAGCACAAAAAAATACATAAAATTAAATAATTGCAAGAATAAATCATACATGGGCTTTTTGAATGAAGAATGAACCAGGAACTTGAGAATAGCTTTGATGGCAATACAGGACAGTCTCAATATTCTGAACCCCTAATAATCCGAAACCCCAGGCAATCCGAACAAGAAACAAAAAAAAGTTAAAGTTTACTGGTGAGAGACAGAATATGAAATGGCTCTGTTCTCAGTACATATTCCTTTTTTTTAAATTATGCCGCTCTTAATTGGCTTCCTCTATCAGAGATCTTGCATATAGCTTCCTTTCTCGGCAGATTCATGAGAACTTGATCCGCTTCATTAAACAATTTTCTCCATTGCTTTTTCAAAATACTGCTCTTTACGGATTCCAGTAGAGCCTTACTAGTAGTAGAGCCTTATTTGTCTTATTTATTTCTTTTTTTGCTCTATGATATGATATTTCATTTTCTGACTGGTTCAATGTGGAGCCTTCCTTGGCGAGTTTATCAGCCATTTCATTGCCATGGAGACCACAGTGACTTTGTACCCTTTGAAAGAATACCTCTGTTCGTTGAAGAAGTAGTTTCTATATGATGTTTTGGCACTTTAGAATATCCTGAGCAAAGGATTCATTGGGCCGTGACACAGCGAGAATAACCGTCTTTGAATCCACAAACAATGCTATATTTTTGGCATCTAAGTGTGACAAGGCTTGCAGTGCCAATAAAATTGCTCTTATTTGGCTGTCAAAATTTGAGGCTCATTCCCCAACAGGTTTCGAAATAGCAAACAGTTGTGAGTATGCACATGCTCCTCTATTGTGTGTTGCTAGTTCAGCAGACCCATCGGTGTAAACATGAATCCATGGAGGGCTGGGATAACGTTCAGCAATCATTTCCAGAGCTGAAGATAATTCTTCTGGTGTAACCTCTTCTTTTTTAATGGATCTAATAAGTTTAAGATTATATGATGCTGTTTTTAAGGGAGGAGGTTATCAGCCCAAACTCTGCCCCCGAGTCAGGTGGGAGGGACTGCCCCCTTTGAGCTTCCTGACCTGCTCCTCCGTGGGGGCGGCTACCTAGAGAAGGTAACCCTAGGGTGTATACTGTTTGTGACCTTTGTCTGTATAGTGTGGGGGTGTGTGTAGTGTGCTGTATTAGTGTACTGAGTGTGTGTTGTGTAATTGTTCCCTCTACCTGGAGGACCAGTGGCTGATTGCGGTACAATGACCGGGCGATGGGGCTGCCACCTCCCTACTTGATGATGCTTGAATAGACAAAACATTAATGAGTTACTTAACCTTCAATTTATAGATTCAAGGCTTTGTATTTGGAATTTATCAATTATATCTTAAAATTTAATTTATGTCTCAGTAGGAGTTTTTCATCCTTTATATTAATATTATTATTATTTTAGGAGCCAGTGATGATGGTTTAAATTGTGCCGTGATGCTAGAAATGATAAGAGTTTTATCTTTGTCTCCTAAAAAATTGCCCCATAATATAATATTCTTATTTAATGGTGCTGAGGAAAATCCGTTAATTGTAAGTCAAGGTTTTATTTTATATTAATAAATATTATGTAACAAGGCACTCAATAAAACACACACTCACATCCTCACACAGATCATTATGTCCGTATGTGTATAAATCTGCAAAGTTGTTTTAATTGATGAATTTAATTTATTTTTTAGGGGTCTCATGGATTCATAACTGAACATAAATGGGCTCATGAAATTAAAACATTTATAAATTTAGAAAGTTGTGGTGCCGGAGGTAAAGAAACTTTGTTCCAAGCAGGACCAAACCATCCTTGGTTAATAAAGGTAATTCTGATATTATTTCTTCCTCTTTTTTTTTTTTTTTTAATTTACTTTTAAGTTGTTGTTTTGTTTATATTTGAATTTCTCCTATGGGAAATTAAATGTTGAAAACTCTTATTGCATTATCCTATTATTGACAGTTTGTCAATATTAGGCTTCATCCCCATGGGTTGATGGTTTAAAGAAAGTTTTTTAGGGTTCAGTTAATATTGCATTGTTGATAAAAACAATTATCATTGTTTTGTTAGCAAGTATGCTGATAATAAATCAAATAAAATTGAATATGAAAAAAATTTAAACTGTAGAATTTTTTTTGAGGGGGAGGTGGAGAGAATTGACCAAAAGTTTCCAACAGAATAAAAACAGCTAATAATGTGTATTATCCACTTTGTAACACTAAAGTAAGGAGAAAAGGGATGTGAGAGGAGTGGCCGAATGGGCTAACGCGTGTGCACTGCACTGCCGTTGCCCGGCAACCTGATAAATGAATCAAAGATATAAAAATAGACACGAGTTCACGTCCTGGTGCCTGGGGTCTTTTAAATCCCCGCTCACACCCCCCAAAAAAAAAAAAGGAGAAAAGGGATATGAAAAATGCTGTTAAACTACACATATTAATAGCATTCTTCCTACAGACTGGAAATGGATGCTTGTTTCCATTGAACAGACACTGGAGCAGAATCGAAGCCACCGGAATGGAATACTCACTGTGAGGGAAACTGTCGAAAAGAAGCAGCTAAAGTGGTTTAGTCATCTGTGCTGAAAGAATAAAGACCAGAAGTTTTTGAAGCTAACCCTATGATAGAAGTTGGCAGTAGAAGGAAAAGATTCTGAATTACATGAAAGCACTAGCTACAGATTGTAATGCTTAGCTGACTTGGAGCAAGGCACCTCCACACTAAGAACCACATAAGAGAAATATGAAAAGAGAAGAAGAGATGCAACAGTTTTTAGATTTTCTGTTTTCTTACTATTGCCAAAAATAATATTCAGTGTTTTCTCTGTAAATTATAATTTTTGGGAGGTAATGTTTTATGCTGGCCCCTTAGCATCCAATCCCATATCTTAAAATATACTTAAACAATGCATGCTCATAATTTCCTCAAGACATTTATATGTCACTTCCTATAAAAGGTAATGTAAATAGTAACACCTATATTTTTCAACCACACTTAAGATTTTTTGATAATGTTGTTGTAACACGTGCATCCATAGTATTTGATTTCAGGATCATCAATTGAAGCCATTTCTGCTCAATATAAAGCCCTCACATACCATGTTCCAAATCTATAAACCTTTTCCATTGCGCCGTGTCTTTTCCGTGACAGTCCGATTTCCAATGCTTGGTTTTTGAGCTTGAATAACAGTGACATTTTTTTTTTAGAGATTGGGTTGGTAGCCCTACCTCTAACCCTCCTGTTATATCCTGGCTTGGGACCAGCAGTCTAGCTTGCTAACCACACAGGCACAGTTACTATTATGAATATCAACTTTAAATATTTTATTATATTTTACAGTATCCTTAATTTTCAAAGTTGTACTTGTGTTATTTGAATTACTTTTAACATTTATGGACAGTATCTTTTTTATTTATCATTTATTGAAGGGCTTTATGTTTTTTACTTGAACTTTTTAAGCTTATGATTTCTCGGATACTTATAGTGGGTTTGTTAATATATAGAAATATATAAAATATTTGTTCAAACATCTAAATAAATCTGTTAAAAGATTTACAAAATCACACTTTCATAAATTTAAAAATGATTTGAAAACAGTTAACGAAAAACCATTGATTGAAATTTAAAAATGATTTTAAAATATTGAACAAAAAATCATTGATTTTTCTAAATTAAATATTTTGTTCTTAGACATATGGAGAAGCTGCTAAATATCCGAATGGGTTAGTAATTGCTGAAGAAATATTTCAGAGTGGCCTGATTCCTTCAGATACAGATTTTAGAATATTTCGAGATTTTGGTCACATTCCAGGTATTATATTCAATAAATAAAAAATAAAAATATGTTTTCATTTTTAAAAATTAAGACTAGGTGAACATCATCAAAAAAATGCAAATAGACCCATACCTATCCATTTGTACCAGCTGGGCAAATATGAAACTGAATTTTAAACATATATGGCTCTTGTTGTTAATGTAGTTACTATTAATATTGGCACCATTTTGTTTTATCAACAACTAGAATAAACTTTTCAACTCACAAAAATATAAGTTTCAATTAAAAGCGTTGTTTGAATAGTGTTAAACATGTCGAGTTTTGTGCCTACAAACTATGATTTATGGACAGCATTAGTTTTCGGTTACCATTAAAGAAAATTTGCTGTTAAAACCTGGCAAAACTGTTAATATTATATGCTATCAACAACAAATACTCAATTTGACTTGAGTGAGTGGACTGTGGACGGAACAGGCAACCCTTTAATTCTGCTCCGTGTTTAGTGCTGTTTGTGTTTATTTAAAGTTTTTTTTTCAGTTTATTTAACATTGACTATTAGATCTTTTGATAACAGTTATCACTGTTATAGAAGTATTTCAATTAAACTTGTTGCAAAGAAGTAATTAACACATTCATTATGAGTGATACAGAAGAGCAAGGTAGTAGGGGTATTAATGCGGTAAACAAAGGAGTGGGGAGAAGCAATGCTGAAGGTAATCCTTTCAACTTACTCTTTAATAAGCTTGAATCCCTTAGAAACGAAATACTATTTTTGCGTAAGGATTTAAATTCTATGGATAAAAGAATTTCTGATAATTTTAATAAATACAATTCAGAAATTTTAAGTATGAAAAAAGACAATTAAAAATTTAAAAAAGAAGTTGTGTATTTAAGACAACATTTTGCTACAAAGGATCAATATCATCAAAATAATAGAATCAAATTTATAAATATTCCTCGAATGGAAGGAGAAGACATTTTAGCTATCATCAAAAGTATTAACGGTACTACTGGCTTCCAGCTGGACGAAAAATTAATTAACTCTTTTTATAGAATAAAAACTAATTCAGGTAAAAGGCCGATTGTGGTTAAATTCCTAAGGAATATTGATAAAACTGAATTCCTTAAGTTATATAGATTAAAAAAGAGTTTGATTAACACGGAATTGTTTAATATAACCCCAGCATTACCGGTGTTTGTGTCAGAACTGTTATCTCCCTACAGTGCTTGGCTTTTTAAACAGCTCAAGTCTAACCAAGAGAAACGTAATCTAAAATATGTATAGACGAGGAATAATCGGGTTCTAGCCAGACAAGAGGTCTGAACTCCTACAATTGTTATTCGCACAGAAGAAGATATCCTAAAAATAGCTGCTAAATATGGTGACCTTACTTGGGAGAGAGATTCTGGCGAGGAAAGAGGAACAGATACAAGCGAGGCGAGTAGAAAAGATGGCACTTTACGGAAGAAGAGGAATGAACGAACGGCAGCTAAAGCTGTTTCTTCACAGAAGTCATTGGACAGTTTTTTACGAAAGTAGAAGGAAAAGTAAATTTAAAAAATTGTTTATTTAAAGGTAATTTGTTTAGTATTGTTTATTTTAATATTGAAGGTTTAATAAGTTATTTAATGTAGATTCTGAGGTTATCAATTTTTTACTTAGTAATCCTGTTATTTGTCTTTCCGAAACTTTCATAACTAATCCAACATTTAATAAACCAACCTGGCTAAAGGATTATACCGAATTTGTTTCAGTAGCTTCTCAAAAATTTAAGAAAGGTCGTTCTCCTGGAGATTTCAAAACTTTGGTAAACAAACTTTTTTGTGAGGAAGTGACTTTATTTGATTTTTCTGATACATGTTTGTGTATCAAAGTTAAAACAAATTCTTTTTCTTTTTTCATTGGAAATGTTTATTGGAGCTCTTTGATTAATATAAATTATTGTATTCTGGATTTGGAAGAACTATTCAATAGAATGAAATCAATCAGCATAATACAGTATTGGGTAGGGACTGGAATGCAAGATTAGGTTCAGGGGATGTAATTGATGATTTACTTGTGGAAGGTTCATATCTGTTCAGTCCCAGAACTAGTTTAGTTAATGTTTGTAATGCTAAAGGTAACCAATTAATTAATTATTTTGAAGAATATGGTTTAATATTATTAAACGGTAGGATACTTAGCGATACACCTGGTCAGTTTATGAATATTACAGCTAGAGGGTGTAGTGTTGTTGATGCTGTTTGGATATCCCCAACTATGATTGATTTCATTCAAGATTTAAAAGTTTTGGATGTTTCAGAATGCCTGTGGTTGTTTATTTAAATAAGTTAAATAAAGAAAACGTGAAACTTGAGGTGAAGAAAAAAGAAAAATACTATTTAGATTTAGATGAAAAAAATATAAATTCCTACCAGGTATTGGTTTCAAACGCAAATAACATTTACTTTAATTCTAGTTCAGTGAATGCTTTGTATAGAAATATGATTAACTGTTTTTTGATCTGTGCACTCGAATCTGAACTTCTCAAGTGAAAATGTTTTGTTTATTCCCGTAAAACTTTTAAAGATAAATTGTGGTTTGAAGAGGAGTAAGAGGAGCAGAGAAGCAAAAAACATTTTGGGAAATGTTTTAAAACATTAAAGTGTGAAGGTATTCACAGGAAAATGTCACTGTTTTTATCAATAGTAAAAAACAATACAAAAAATGTGTAAGTGTAGCAAAATAAAAAAAAAATTCAATTGACTTTTAAACTCATTATCAGATGTCAAAGAAGTTAAAATGTTTTGGCAAATATTTTAATAATCTGAATATGGTTGAAGTTGCGGTTTCTATTGAACAATTTATCTGTTTTTATAAAGAATTTTATGCTGGAAAGGACTCAATTTCTGACTTGATATCCACCAATTCCGTTTTAGAATTAGATAATCCTATAAATCTGGATAAACTTCAGAAAGCAGAAAAACTAAATTGAAAAAAAGCATCTGGCACCGATCAGTTGCCATATGAAGTTTATAAACTTATGCCTCTGAATTGGGACCACTACCACTGTAACCTTTTTAACAACGTTAAAAGGTGCTACTTCATTTATATAAAAAGGAGATGTTGAGGACCCCGCCAATTACAGGAGAATAGCACTGATAAATTATTTTGTGAAACTGATTTCAATTATTCTAGCTGATAGAATTACTCAATGGGCAGAAAAATCATAACTTGATTCCAGTCGAACAAAATGGTTTCAGGCCGGGTAGAGGCTGCGTTGATAACATTTTTACTTTAAATTCAGTAATAAATATCTCACTGAGCTACAAAGGCAACACTGTCTTTGCGACATTTGTTGACTTTAAGCGGGCATTTGATTCACTGGATTATACAAAATTGTGGCAAAAACTTCATTTGGATTGGGTTCTAAAATAATAAAAAATTTATGAAAATTATGCAAACAAGGTACTATAATTTTAAAGGATGAACTTAATATGTAATCAGCTAAAATCAGTCAAGGAGTATAACAGGAAGACTCCCTTAGTGCTCTAATATTTTCGTTATTCATTTCAGATATAATGTTTCATTTTAAAAATTATGGATGTACTGAAATAAATATTGACCATATAACAGAAATATCCGGGCTGATATATTAAAAACCACCACCAACGACCAAAGAAGAAGATTGATGTAGCTAAACTTAAGGACTCAGACCACCAATATTCGTATCAACAAGCTGTGGAGACGAAACTTAATGAAGATGTAATTAATGACAGCTCTATGGTCGATGAACAGTGGAAGAGATGCAGCAACGCAATGAAACAGGCAGCAGAAGAATCTCTTGGCTACGAGACTAAATCTAGAAGGCCTCCATGGTTTGATGCTGAGTGCCTTCAAGCAGTAAAAGTGAAAAATGAAGCCTACAGAAAGAAGGTTCAGCGTCCCACAAGGCTCTCCCAAGAAACATATCGAAGAAAAAGACGCGAAGAGAAGAGATTATTCCGCGGAAAGAGAAGAGCTTGGGAAAACAAGAACATGGAGGATATAGAGGCATTGCGCGGCCAAAATGAAAGTCGGCTGTTTTTTCAGAGAATAAACGAGGGTAGAGCAGCTTTCAGGCCCAGAGTGACGGCATGCAAAGACACGAATGGATCTCTTTTAAGCCACAAAGATGACGTACTAAGGAGATGGGTACAACATTTTAAAGACGCATTAAACAGAGGAACGGTGCCTGGAGAAGTAGGAGTAATGAAGGAAGACTCCCTGAATTCTATTGAACCCCCGGATGAGGAGGAAATGGAAAATGCCCTGATGAAATTGAAAAATGGAAAGGCGCCAGGCCCGGACGGAATCCAGTCAGAGCTGTTGAAATGTGGAGGTGAAGAACTTAAGAAAGCTCTGCATGATTTAATGCTGACCATCTGGGAGAGGGAAGCTATGCCTACGGAATGGGCAACAGCCATTATCTGCCCAATACATAAGAAAGGAGATCAAACAGAATGCGCTAACTATCGAGGAATCTCACTCCTTTCGTGTGCTTATAAACTGCTCTCTAACATTCTTTTTGAGAGGATTCGCCCGTATTCTGAAAAGGAACTGGGGAAATATCAGGCTGGATTTCGAAGAGGACGCTCAACCACTGATCAACTGTTCTCTCTGAGGATGATCCTAGAAAAGACTATGGAGCGTAAAGTAGTCACCCACCATTTATTCCTAGACTTTAAAGCAGCATACGACAGCGTTGATAGAACGCAACTATACTGTGCCTTGGAGGAGCTAAGCATCCCTCAGAAGCTCGTACGCCTAATCAAGATGACCATGGACAGCTCGAGATGTAGAATACGCGTCGGTTCTGACGACTCCGAAGAGTTTAAAGTGAGCAGTGGGGTTAGGCAAGGGGATGCCCTCGCCTGTCTATTGTTCAACTTGGCAGAGGAGAAAGCTGTAAGAGACTCCGGTATTCAGACCAACGATATAATCTTCAATCGCCTGACACAGCTTCTTGGTTGTGCTGATGATATTGACATAATGGGTAGGTCTGAACAGGCTCTCA